TTTTCACAGTCTGGATGTTTGAGCCTTTCTATTAGGAATTTCCTTTCTTATAAAAGGCAGCTCTCTTCCAATAAAACCATACCCTATAGCTTTATAGGTAAAAATACAAAGGAATAAATATATGTTCTGAATCCTTATGATGAATATGCATACTAGCCACAGCAGGATTGCCTGTATCTACAGAACTAGGAAAAAGAAGTTGTAGCATTAGATTTTGGATATTAAACTTCCAGAAGCTTTGCATGAATGTGCTATTTTAAAATTATTATTATTATTAACAACAACACATCCTTCTCCTTTTTCTGACTACTGGAGTTTGGTTCAAAGCTTTATGTAGTTCCAGTCGAGTTTCAAAACCAGGATAGGCCTTTGGGCATCATCAGCTATTTTTGTAAATAAATTTTATTTGTATACCATCATTATTACAAGATGATATACAATGAAAAATAAATATACTACTTATTTTTTCCAACATGCATCAATCCAGAGATGTAACCTAGGATGAACATGTAATTTCAGCTAATATTTTAGTTGACTTTGCCCTGAAACAGGTGATGAGTCTTTGACACAGAAAGCTATTGTGGACAGATTTGTGGGACAAATATCAAGCTGTCACAAAAGCATTTCAAAACTACTTAAAGATAATGCCCTGGAGTGTAGCCTCAGATATTATTTATAAAGAGGCAGATCATCTTCATTCAGCAAGAGTAGTTCCATCAAAAAAAACAAAAAAAAAAAACAAAAAAAACACAAACAAAAACACAGCAAACCAAAAAAACACACACCAATGAACTACTCACATGGGTAAAGCAAAGTGGATGTGATTCCCATTTATATTTTTACTGCTGTATAACCTAGAAGAAGTTTCTTGTCTCTGTCTTCTCACTTATGGCCAAGTTTATCACCCCAGGCTTAATCCTAAAAAGGTGCTGAGCTTCCTGAAAGGTCCTGAAGAAACACAACCTCCATCTGACTCATCTGGACTGGGTCCTTTGAGTGACTGAACTAAGAATATGACAAATCAGGTATACAATCCTGGTATCATAAAATATGAAACTGAAACTGTTCCCCAGTGCTTTCCTGTAGACCACATGTTTTCAAACCTTAAAAAGATTTATTTCCCACTTTTCATACATAATCTGCCATATTCATTATTTGAAATATCCCATAAAGAGATTAAATAGGAATTAAATTCTAGGAGCGTCATATCCATCACTGTGGTACAAACTGATGCCGAATTCTAGAAGTCATTTAGCCTTGTATGTAAAGTCAGTGGCTGTTTTCACTTTGCTTCACAAAGAATAAGGAAAACATAATACCCCAGAAGACTTTCAGATGTGTTTTTTCCCCTCCAAAGAAAAGGGTGGATGATAAAGCTACACACACCTTTTAATCTTCCACTTAGGGTTTTTACACATATATTCCCTGGCAAAAACCCCAGGGTCTTCTCTCTCCCCTCCCTTTCTCTCAGCCCCTTTCCTGCCATCTCCCTTACTATAACTCAGCTAACCCAACAGAACCAGTCAGTTTTAAATTTCAGTTGGGACCCCGGTGACCTGTTAATGAATCTACAGAGAGGAGAAAAACTCACAGTGTTGAGTTATGCCTGGTGTTGCTAGCTGACTTGGAGTCAGAAATGCTTGAAGCGTTAACGTAATTGCAAGAATGTGAAAAATGAAGCGTTGGGCTCCTGAGCAAAGCGAAAGGTCAAAGCAAGCCCTACACAAAACAAGTCTCTGGAAGATGGCCTCATTAGACCATTAAATCAGCTTCTTTTTCTCCTTTGTAAGATGTTTAGTGTTTTATTTTTATTATTGGATATATTTAACTCTTTCTCTTTCCAGGGCAGGGGGAGAGTTGATCAGACCGGCTACATAATTACTAATCTCTAAAATAGTATTACACAGCATTGATCTGCATTTGTGGATCTGAACTGGGATAAAGTCAATAAATGCTTGGTAGATTACAGGTCACTAGTACTTTGGTTTGTTAGATGATCAATATGTTGTATAGCTTAGTTTTCTGTTGAACAAGTGAGGTGACATGTTAAGAACAACACAGACACTCACCACTAATAAAATTAGGATAATCTTTCAACATTCACTGCCTGAAGGCCCTTTCCTTAACTCTTTCAATGCCAGCATCTTTCTAATAATATCATTTACTAGATTAACCCTTTTGATGCCAAAAGGGCAGCCACGCACTGTCGCGGAGAGACTGTCCTCCATAAACAGACAAAATGGCAACAGCTTTTTTGTTTGGTTGCAAATTTAAGAATTATGGGTGGATTCTGTGTAATAAATAGATCTACACTGTGCAGAGAAAACCTGCAAAAACAATGTCATCACTTACCCAACTCCATTCTATATCCCGCATGCCACTCTCAAAAATAAATAAATAAAAAATAATAAAAATCACAAGCTGCACATCACAGACTTAAAGCAAAAGCAGAGACCCCTGGAAAGAGTGCTCCCAAGAGCCAAAAGAGACTAACTCTAGTTTGAATCAATCTCTGCTGCCACCAGGCATCGGTGGAGGAGACCATAAATTGCTGATGTAACCCAAGACTCTTTAATGAGCTCCCATTCCCAATAAATCCTTTGGGGCAGGCAGAATACTTGAAGCAACATTTGAGGAAGGCCTTGACAAAACTGAAGGGAAACCAAGTTGACCCAAATAAGTAACTGCACCAGAATAGCTCAAGTGGGCATCTACCCATCTTGGTATTGCCTGGGACCGACTCCTTGCCAGTTCACAAGTTACAAAGTAAACCCTGCCTGCTTCAAGGAAGCATAAGGAAAATACAATACAGGCCTCTGTCTCTTTAGTCTTTCCCAGGGTCTAGAGGAGGAGAGCAGTCCAAAGTTGTCTCCAATGGGAATTTTGTCGGTGCTGTAGGATCATACATCTTTCAGCTGCCAGCAGCTGACTGGAATGCTGATTTGCCACTGGACGACTGCTTCCTTTTGAAAGGCCCAACTGAGCAAAGGGAAGCATACTTGTGATGTTTTACCCTGCTGGGCTGGGCAGCACTAGTGACTGATTTGGCCCTTCAGAGGTTGTTCAGCTTCTGCAGAAACGAGTGTAACAGGTGTGTTTAAATCACGTATATTACCAGAAACCTCAGTCCCCGGTGGGAAGTTGGTGTAGTTACCATAAAATACTTTCTTATGCTTATCAATATTTCTCAAGCATGAGTTACATGACAGGGAGTTGGAGACTAGTGAAACGCGAGCCCCCTGGATGCTGATACAGGGGATTCTTTACATCAAGCATGGCGTGATGAAGAAACTCTTCTAATTTCTAAGGGGTTGCTAGGGCAGAGTAGAGATACAGGTGTGAGAAAATTTCTTACCTAAGGGTGGAATGAACACACTGTGGCAGATGACTCGGAGGAATCATTTTTAAGTATGCAAATGATCATCTGCTACACCAAGCATCTTAGCCACAGTAGACAGTGTAAACATTTGATCAATAGTAAAGTCTATGGCCAGCTAATGTAACACCGATTTACTGCTTAGCAGTCAAGTTCTCCCTTTCAGTAGCTGCTGAAGCTGTAATAGTTCATGCTGGGCCTTGTACAGGTCTGATACAACCACATAGAAAAAAGTCCCGTGTGACTCATGTTAGAGCTGGATCACACCCTGTGCCATGGCTGCCTTCTATCAGCAATAAGATTACAAATGTATAAACAATTCATACAAATAGGAGACAAACCCAAACCACTCTACCAGAAACAAACTTTTCAAGTTCCTAGAATCGCAGTGGGTACTACACCAGATCATGAGACAGATGAGGGGGTCTAGCTCTGTGCCAAGCAGTGGGCCACGTGAGAGACGTGAAATTACATATCTGCTCCGATGTTTTAGCGTGGCGAATACCGTGGTGGGAAGCGGCCCAGAGCATGAGGCTAGTCATGGCAGCTCAAGCCCTGAAGGCTGCTCCCCTCTCCAGTTTTGGGATCCCACTTGGCCAGTTGGATGGCAGACCTGTCAGTTGGCTCTGTTGGGTATGCGCAATCCCCAGGTGCACGAGATGGAGAGAGCAAATCGTAAGACCTTATAAATGTAATGTCTCACTCACTTGCTGAGGCTTACCATGTTTACAAAGGAAAACAAGAACAGAGCTCACCTTAAACTTTGGTCTTTAAAAAAGAAGAAAAAAAATCAGTTCTGAGTCAAGATTCAAGAGTGACAGTAGACCATCTTTACCCAACTTTTAGCACTGAAATCTTGACTTTTATACCTTCTGGAGTCACTTACACTTCTAATGAGCAAGTGTAAAACACTATCATATCAGAATGACAGCCTTTGACACTCGCTCAGCATGGATGCAGATGACCACACACGAGGTGCAGTGCAGTAGGAAATAAAACAAAAAACCCTGAAATAATAATCAAACCTCCTGAACCCTTGAGAAGGCTTCACTGTATAGATCCAGCACAGGTTTTACAGTTCAAGTACATCTCTATTTACAATTCTGAATTCAGATTTTCAGCAGCATAAACAAGTCTCTACAAGCAAACATTGCAAGAAACATTTTTCTGTCCAGTTCAGGTTTTGCTTCTACTTTATATAATTTAGCAGCTTCATAACTTCATATAGGAGTCTCTGCCACAGCTAAAACTACAGGTTTAATTCTCCATCTATAACACAGCTCAAACAACTGCATCACAGCTGGAGAGTATGTCTGTCATTTTATTTACTTACAGCACACAAAAATAAACTGTAGATAACCAAATTTGTAAAGGAATTGGCAGAACTAATCAATTGTTATTACAAAGCTTGTTTGAAGATTAGATATTTCGCTTTGAAATAATAATAAAATGCAGCTAAGTGGGTTAGGAAAAGGAAATACCGTCTCCCTAAGTTACAGCTGATTATACTGCAAGTCTGCCACTCCATGTTTACTCTAAGGCAGATGTACTGATATAGTAAAAAAAAAGCTGGAGTTATTTTAGTCATGCCTACTTTGCGGAGGGAAAAAGTTTGACCTTTTACCTTGCTCGCTGCTGTTGTCTCCGCTCTGGGAAGCATGGCCCCCACTGGAGGGCCCCGGTGTGCCTGCCGAGTGCGTTGAGGTTGCATCATCGTGGTCTCTCCAAGATGAAGGATTCTGGTGTCAGAGTGCCAAGGAATTTTTTCCACAGTTCCCATTCCAATAGCAAATGAAGAACAGAAAGAAAACGGGGAGAAGAGGGGAGGGGAGGGGGGAAAAGTATACACATTAGCATTTGTGAAATGTGCCAAAGACTGACACTGTTTGCACAGTGTAACAATTCTTCAGGAAAGACAAGCAGAAGAGGTACAAAGATTTACTTGATAAAATAAAGGACGGATTTTTTTTCTTTTTTAAACTTTCCAAAGAGTTGTCTGGTTTTAATTGTTTGAATAGTACTGCAGAACAATATTTCAAGGGAGAATAAAAAAGTTCCTTAATGAGCTATACAGGGGAGTGGAGGGGAGAACATCAACCTGCAGTTTATGATACTAGGTGTTCACATTTGGATCAGGACAGCTGTTATGCAAACTACCTCCCACACTGCTTTTCCAGACTGACTAGAGATGGGAGGGGAGAGGAAGGGGAGGGAAACTGTTTCAAGAAGTAGAGGAGAACGTGCATGGGAGAGGAACATGTCCTCACACCCTAACCTCTCTCACCATTTGAATGCTAGAAAAACTTCAAGCAAATGCAAAGTTGTGAGGGAAAAAGCAAGCTTTCTCTGAAGGACATTATATACCAAGAAAGATGCTTCCTCACATCCCCCCCTCCCCCCCCATCACCACCTTGTTATGACACATTTCAAAAGACTTCCTAGATTTATCACTCTAACAGTTCACTTACAAGTATTGTCAAGAATAACCACCAGGTGATTATATAAAATAAAGTGTATAGTGATTTTTATGTAATTCTTTCTACATTACTATGCATAAAACTCATCAAAAGGGAACACAGAAGACAGACATACAAAGTTTGCAAAACTTGGTTAAGTGAGACCTCAACTACTGTACGTTAGTCACATAGTTCATCTGAGCTTTCCAATTTATTGAATATTGTCTTTCCCGGAGTGAAGAGCTGCTATTTAAAAGGGTAAGTGAGGAAAACTTAATGTTGCAGTTTAGTGCTACTTTGTGGAGTGTATTCTCCTCCTGTCCTCCTCCCCTTTCCTGATCATTCCCAATACCCTGCTGTTGCTTAAAGGAAAACAGGAATTCTACTGTACAGGAAGAGCTTTATCAGCACCACATGAAGGCAGGCAAGAGATGGAATTTCCTCTGGCAGAAAAGGAGAGCAAGAACACATGAAACAGATCAGACTAGGGGCTGGACCTGCATTACTTGTCACCTGTATGTGACAACTTAAATCAAGCACATTATAATAATTCAGCAACAAAACAAATGAAAAATCCCCCCTCAAAAAACCAAACCAAACAAAAAAAAAACCAAACCAAACAACAAACAAACAAAAAGCTGTTGCTTCTTAAGTTTGATTGCATTTCAAATCTTTATTGAGAAATAACACTGGACTATTAAAGTGCAAGAAGATCCTGAAATCAGCAAGTGACAAGTTTGGATAAATTCTTTGAGCAGGACTGATACTGACCTCATCTACCCTGACATTTAGTAGGAATAAATTCAACAAAATCAACTGATTTACCCCTTGTAGAATTCAGTGTAAGTGTGATTGGAATCAGGTCCCAAAATATATATTGGAACATCTCAAAGTAATCTCCTAGCACTGATTAGTACCACATGCTATATAGCAATGCAAAATAGAACTGCCAAATAACAGCTTGCTACAATACCTAGTAACATAAATCTAACGGGCCTGACCCGGATCGCAGCAGAGACAAAAGGAAGAATCCATGACTTCAAAAGTTTTCCAGTAAAGCCCTGTGTGACCAAAGGGTAAGAAGGATCCAAATCCCCTTCACCTTACACAGACACACACATGCACCCACATTTCATGGCAGAAAAATATGAGTAAAATCAGAAGACAAGCCAGGATCCAAAATTTACCTAACCTGTCAGCACAACCGACAGCACTTATGGCACAAACCCACCACCCCCTCCAAAACCTGGAAGACTGATCTACTTTTCCTCACATAGAACCACAACAGGAAAAAAAATACCACTAAACAGTAGTATTTTATATTCATTGACATTGTTGTATTCATTAGGTCTTGGAAATTGTTATTAATACAGTAGCCCCCTCCCTCATTTAATTAAAAAAAAAAAAAAAGAAAAAAAAAAGAAAAGAAAAACCTTTTACCATCATTTTACAGCGTCAGGTGGAAGGAAAGATGAGAAGTCCCAAAAGTTCAATCAGCCCAGATGTTACTAAAAAAAACCCTCAAAAACTTGAAAATAGGGTTAGCAAAAAGTTCAGATGGAAATAAAATGCAAAAACCGAGCAAGTTTCTTTACAGCCTGGATTAAAACACAGTTGTGCCTATGAGCTTCTCTTTTTATCTCTGAGTTAGGAAGCCACTCAAATAGCTTCAAGCTGAAGGCAAACAGCAGACAGGAGCTCTTCAGCCCTCTGCAGCCTCTTAGCGTCAGCTGTTTGCCGGATGGTAATCAGATAAAGAGCTAGAAGAAATACATGAAAAAGAAAAGAAACAATAGCATAGCATGAGTTTAGCCCTCCAACAACATCAGGCTGGAACGTCCTTTTAGAAAATGTAATAATTGCAACATGTTCACCTAGGCTAAACTTTTCAGGGAACACAGTGAGCTATGTTAATTTTATGCACTGCAGGCTCTCTTAAGCTGGCTGCTGTTGGAGCTCCTTATCACACATATGAAAATTACAATAATTAACTGGTAACACCTCAGCTATGTTTTAAGGCAAATGTCATCCAAAACCTATCATACAGTATTTCAAAAGCTAGACCGGCCTTTCTGTTTCAAAACCATAACGATTTGGAAAGGATCACTGAATAAGACTTCCCGCAGCTGAAAACACTTGCTGTCTCTACCAGGCTGAGTTGTTCTTGACCTCAGTTTGTAGATACTGTTTTAGAAAGACAGACTGTATTGATTGGGAATTCAATGTTTTTCTTGTGACAGTTTTCTTGAGGAAGCAATTTAGCAGAATTTTGTTGAAGTACAGGAATAATAAGATGGGATATTTACAAGATGCAGCAGTAGAATGTTGGAGGAATTTGAAAGGGAGGGAAATAGCTAGGCTTTAATATTATGAAAAATTACAAATAACTCTAGGGGTGGAGTTTACAGCCTCATAAAAAGGCAGCATTCTTTTGCTTTGGACTACGATCCTTGTACATGTTAGTGAACTTCTTTTTCTCCCCTAGCCTGTTTCCAACTTTGCATCCCTCCAGAAAAACTTCTTGGCCAAATGCCTAATCATTAGTACTTATTTTATGTATGTCTTCACAAAAAAAATGGGACCAAATGACACATCAACAGTGTACTTCACTGAAAACACTTTATCAGTATAGTTCCGGTGCCTAAAGAAATCCCAGTCTAACGCCCACTAACATTAATTGCAATTTTACTATTAATTTCAATGAAATTTGTATTAAGCTATCCCACTGTAAAAAAAAAAAAAAAAAAAAAAGAAAACCAGACAGCTTTAGATAAATTACACAAACTGATAGCATGCCTTTTCATATCTTCTTGCAAGTTTAATAATATACTTTGTAGAAAGACATTGAGGAGTGTGGATGATGTCTGCCAAAACGCAATTGCTTGTTTTGTGTACGTGTGCATACTATAAAATTTTCACACACGTATGACCTAAACTAATGCCAGATACCATAGAAGGTAAACAGCACACATGTATCTATTCCCAGTAGTTTTTATAATTGGGAGTCAAATATGGTGCTCCTCTTGCTCTTACCTAATTGTGTTAAAGAGCAGTGTTACCAGGAGAAAAGCAGCGAATACTGAGTAGAGCACAATAGAAGGAGATGGAAAATAGATACAAGAAGCTAGGTCTCCAGGGGCAGTATTTTCTATTTGCTGGGCTACAGACTCGCAGCTGATAATGCAAGTTGTAATTAATATAAAAGCAGGAGACAATATGGGGAAAGCTTGTACTAGCAGGGCCACAGGAGATCACTCCGCTGCTATCCACTGTTTCTCATTTACACGCACAGCCTTCCCTAGAAAACACAATTTTGCCAGTGTTTTTTCCCTTGAAAGTTAAAAAAAAATTGATTTAGCACCACCATTGAATTTTGCTAAATCTAGAAAAGAGCAACAGAAAGGACAAGAGTCTCCTGGTATACAAAGCCAATCTGACGTGTTACTCTTTTGTCGATGCTGCAAATCTGGTGGAAACTGTAAGAGTTTTTAACCACTACAGGATTTCTTGAACAGAGACGTTGTAACACAGAAATTTTATATAAGATAACCTTCTGTTAAATTGCAACTCTTACTCTGTATGTCCAGAATTTCCACTGGGTAAAGTCTGGCTAATTTTTTGTGAGTGTATGTAGTCCCGCTAGGGCTGATTCTGATCTCACACTGCTTTTTATGGTGATATTAAAGACTCAATTAACCATAAGGAATTCGCTTCTTATTTATAACTGGGAAGTAAAATCAATCAGGCCAGCTGATACCCATGTGAGTAAACTGAGCAGGATTTGGCTTACAGATGTTAACTGAAGTTTTAAGTATACAACTGTGACAGGATCAGGTCCTTACATTTTTTCAGATGAAACGGACAAACTCCTTGATCTTGCAGGAACAAATAAGACACAACTTACTTTCATAAATTAAACTACAACAGCTGTAGAGCTTGTTCTTTGTGAAGATGGTAGGATTCAAAGGTCTGGAGGTTGCTCCGGTAAATTAATTTTGCAAACACAAAACTGAACGGGTGGTACGGATGGCATTTTCCCGCCCAAATACAAGTCAAATCCTGCTCACCTTGTTTTTACCAGTAACACCTGTAAACACAGTGGAACAACTGACGTGACTGACACCACAAAAATCTGTATCTAGGAACTACCTTTTATCAAAAGATGATATACTATGCCGGACATAGAAACCCATACACATACATGTACATGCATTTCTGTGTATGCATCTGTCTGCTTTATATGTATAAAGTTCAGGATGGTATCTTAGAGACTGTTGTGGAGT